AACTATGAGCCAATCGAGCAGAAGAAGGCGTACGAGGTGGCCGGCTTGCTGGGTGAGTGTTGGTGGCTGTGCCAGGGGCCCTGTGGCAGTGCCCAGCCAGGATCCTCCAACAAGGTGGTCCCACGTTGGCCCCGTGCACCATGGCCCTGTTCCCGAGGCACTGGGATGTGCTGGCAGCTCAGGTGCAGAGAGGGACACCCTGCTGCCACGGCCAGGCACCAGTCACAGTGGTGACAAGTTCTGCCGTTTCTCTGCTCCCTCTGCTACCAGACACCAGGGTTACACCACCCTGATGGCTTCCCTGTCCTCTGCAGGTGACATTGGAGGGCAGATGGGGCTGTTCATTGGGGCCAGTATCCTCACAGTACTGGAGCTGTTTGACTACGCCTACGAGGTGAGTGTCTCTGCTGCCCCGCGGCTGTCAAGAGGTCCAGGTTACCCTGGAGCACCAAAATGCTCCTGTAGGACACGGAGCTCCCAGGGTGCTGAGATGTGGCTCTCACAGGTGATAAAGCACCAGCTGTGCCGGGGGGGCAAGTGCCGCAAGAGCCACAAGAGGAACAACTCGGACAAGGGCGTCGCGCTGAGCATGGACGACGTGAAACGCCACGTAAGTGCTGGGTGAGCCCGGGGAGCTGCTGGTCCCTCCTGCAGTCCCAGACATGCCAAAGGGCGAGGAGGGTTGTCACCTCCTCAGGGAGCATTTGGGAAAGGAGCAGAGGCACCAGGCAGGGATGCTGTGGAGAGACAGGACTTGCCCGTCTGTGGGGGTCTGGCTGAAACCAGTCACCCCAGTGTCCCACCCACCCTCTGCCCCACAGAACCCCTGTGAAAGCCTTCGGGGCCACCCAGCGGGGATGACGTACGCAGCCAACATCCTACCTCACCACCCGGCCCGGGGCACCTTTGAGGACTTCACCTGCTAACCGACGTCTGGATGTACAACCTGAGCTTACCAAAGCCCTCCGGAGAGCTGCCCTGCTCCCTGCCAGCGCCGGCGGAGAGACACATCTAAGGGGACCTTGCTCCTCACCACGGTGGGACACGGACGAGAGCGACGGCCTCGGACTTGGGGGGCAGGCGGTAAAAAACCCGGGGCCTGCCCCGCTCCTGCAGAGACTCGAGGAGGCTCCAGCCCGGGAACCCCGCGGCGCGGGGAGCGACACGCACAGCGGGCTGGGGCACGGGCCTGCCCAGCCTCCTTCCCTCGGCTCCCCCTCGGCCTTTTAACTAGAAAACCCAGAAGCCAAGAAGAAGCAGCCGCCGTCCGGCCGCAAAGTCTCCATCCACAGCCCTGTCCGTCTGTCCGTCCATTGTCTCCATGCCCATCCTGCTCCAACGCCTCGGCCGGCGCTTGCTGGAACCCCCGTGCCTGGCAGGAGGGGTGGCTGAGGAGCCCCGGGGTGTGTCTGGGGTTCTGCAGTCCCACCTCGCTGTCCCCTGGTGGCCCGTGGGTCACCCTCGCCTGGGCACTCCCATGAGCACGAAGACCGGGCACTTCCACCTCCTGAAACGTCTTCCTTGGCTCCAGGGAACAGCAGTGCCCACCCACCCAGCCCCGGAGGGGACCTGGCCAGGGGTGTCACCCTGGCACTGAAGACCCTGCCACCTGGGCACTCTTCGTCACCAGGTGACACTGTGGTCTCCCTGCTCATCCCTCTTGCCCCGCAGTCCCTCCTGTCCCCAGGGAACCTGGGGGTTACCCCGCGCGGCCCCCAAAACCAGCCATGCTCGGGGAGGAAGGCGGGAGGAAAGCTCCTGGTTCCCGTGTCAGCTGCAGCCAACGGCTGAGGGACACCCCATGGCACAGGGTGCTCTGGCCCACGGGACCACAGGTTCCCAACCCCACTGGAACCCCCCCCAAGAGCAGCTGCCCCCGGGCACCACGAGCCCTGGGCACCTCTGGGGACCTGCCAGCTCAGTGCCCTGGGACCACCCCTGCTCCTCCTGTCCCTGCCCTCCCCCTGGCACGCAGAGACCTGCCCTGGCACCCAGGCTCTGCTCCCCAGGTCTGCTCCCCAGGCACCCACCATTCCACCCTGGGATCAGTGCAGATTGGAGACCCCCACTGCCCTGCCAGCCCCCCCAAGCATCCAGGCAGAGCCCTTCCCAGGGCTGAAGTGCTACTTATCTTTAAGAGCTTTTGCAATAAGTCTTTTTAGTAATTATTATTTCTAAACTGCAGTTTCGTTTTGGGTTTTTTTGTCATTATTACTATTATTATTACTATGAGTTATTTTTTGCTTCCTGACCAAAATTAGGAACTGGGGGTTAGTCCTTTTTATCCAGCAATCACCCAAAGATGACAAGTCGGCCACATCCATAAATTTTCTTATGGATTTTTCCTGATGTTTCCTGGCATTTCATGTATTTATTTTCTTTCTTTCTCTTTCCCATTTAAGCTTTTAAAGATGGGGCTGGGATTTGACCTTGACGCTCACCTGTTGAAGCCTAAACTTGTTTGTTTCTATTATGCCATCTGCATTTTATATTTCTTATATATAATATATATGACTATATATATATGTGTACATATATATATATATCTATATGCATCATACCAGTGTAGATATCCATCTAGTAGCATTTAGGCCTTGTTCTTGTGCCATTTTTTTCTTTCTGTTTCTGATCTCTGAATGCCTTCAAGTGTATAAAGTGTTGAATTCTCTCTGGTATCTGTACTATGTACACACATTTTCATAGGAAGCACAATAAGATGACAGATGCATTGTACATCAATACCTGCTACTCTTAACAATGATATAAAGAATGATATAACTCCTGAACACCGAGCCTTTCTCTCTGCTGGAAATGCTCCCCAAGGAGGCAGGTGGGGATGGCATCAGCCTGGGATGTTCTTGAAAGCATCACTGAAATCCTGGAGCCACAACAAAAAGGAGAGGGGGAGGAGAAAGCTTTGGTCCAGGCTTCCAGTGCTGCTCTTCAATCAGCACAGAAATACCAGCAACATCAGAGCTGGTGTTGAGCAGAGTCACATTCAAGTGTCTCTCAAAGCTGTGCTGAGGTGGTGATTGCTCTGGGTGCCCCAGCAGTGCTGCCTGGTCCTGCAATGCTGTGTGAACGGGTCCCAAGGGACACTGAGCACTTCCCAGGGGACACTGAGCACTTCCCAGGGGACACCGAGCACTTCCCAGGGGACGCTGAGCACTGGAGGATGGGGACTGATGGTGGATGGGGAGGAGAATTAACAAACCCACAGCTGCTAATTTCTGGCAGCCCTGAACAGTTCTGAGGTTTGGGGCAGACACCTGAGATTGAGCAGGAGTTGGTCACTCCCCCCCAGTCTCACCTGGTTCCAGTTTAACCCCGTTCACACCTGAGATTGAGCAGGAATTGGTCACTCCCCCTCCAGTCTCACCTGGTTCCAGTTTAACCCCGTTGGTGGCAGTCGGAGCACACACCTAAACACACTTTTTGTCCTAAAAATTTCCAGCTACAAAGAGCAAGGTGCACACACCAGATCCAACACTGGGCATCCAAAAAAAGCCCTGAGGACCCCATGGAGACTGGATACTAGTGAGTGGGAATGCTGAAAATGCCAAACTCCCACCAGTCCCTTAGCTCTGGCCACATCCCTCTTGCTCCTGTAAATGGCAGATGAGTGTTTTGCACTTCAGCTGGAACTGTCTTCTTGCCATTCTGGTCCTTCTCTGCCAGAGCTGGTGCTGCAAAGGCCACAGGGTGGACCCCGAGTGGAAGACAATAACATCGCTGAGCCCAGAAAGGAGTTAATGAACCTAAATTAAGTACAGCCAGCCAGTGTGAGCAGCCAGAGCAGCTGAACAGGTTGCTCCCTCCACATCCAGAGCAGCTCCTGGTGCAGGGGGTAGACAGTGACCCCGTCTCAGCGAGCTGTAATCTCTTCCATAGCTTCCCATTAACCTGCTGGGCTGTGCTGGGAATAGGTCACTCCATCCATCTGTCACAGCCTCGCATGGCACAGGCACATCCCCAGCACGGCTGCCTGAGGTTCCTGCTGCTGCCTGACATGATGTCTGGGAGCCACAGCCTGGAACGGACTCGCAGATCCCAAAGGCACCTGCAATTCCCGTGGGAACACAGCGGGCGGGCGGCCAAGGCAGCAGAGGGAGCAGCTCTTGGAAGCGAAGTGGAAAAGCTGCACGTTTGCAGACTCAAGGCGCGCTCAAGGATCCGGGCAGGGCAGGACACGACACGGGCTGGGGAAGCCCCAGCCTGGTGGGAATTCCTTAGGGATGGCTGCTCCCCTGGCAGCCCCAGGGACAAGCAGCCCCGTCTGTCACCCGCTGCGGAGAGACAAGGAGTTCATGACATTCCATGGGAAGCATCTTCAGCCACCCAGGGGAGGACGGGCAGTGACACCCGCAGGTCCGAGGTGCTGGGCAGCACCTGCTGTGTTTTCCCGGCGGGTTGTGTGGCTGCCCAGATCCCTGGGGAGCCGGGATTCATCCTGCACCACACAGACGGCACCTCTGCCCTGGCAACAATTCCCGGTTCCTACACGCTCGCTGTCTCACCTGGTTCCAGTTTAACCCCGTTGGTGGCAGTCGGAGCACACACCTAAACACACTTTTTGTCCTAAAAATTTCCAGCTACAAAGAGCAAGGTGCACACACCAGATCCAACACTGGGCATCCAAAAAAAGCCCTGAGGACCCCATGGAGACTGGATACTAGTGAGTGGGAATGCTGAAAATGCCAAACTCCCACCAGTCCCTTAGCTCTGGCCACATCCCTCTTGCTCCTGTAAATGGCAGATGAGTGTTTTGCACTTCAGCTGGAACTGTCTTCTTGCCATTCTGGTCCTTCTCTGCCAGAGCTGGTGCTGCAAAGGCCACAGGGTGGACCCCGAGTGGAAGACAATAACATCGCTGAGCCCAGAAAGGAGTTAATGAACCTAAATTAAGTACAGCCAGCCAGTGTGAGCAGCCAGAGCAGCTGAACAGGTTGCTCCCTCCACATCCAGAGCAGCTCCTGGTGCAGGGGGTAGACAGTGACCCCGTCTCAGCGAGCTGTAATCTCTTCCATAGCTTCCCATTAACCTGCTGGGCTGTGCTGGGAATAGGTCACTCCATCCATCTGTCACAGCCTCGCATGGCACAGGCACATCCCCAGCACGGCTGCCTGAGGTTCCTGCTGCTGCCTGACATGATGTCTGGGAGCCACAGCCTGGAACGGACTCGCAGATCCCAAAGGCACCTGCAACTCCCGTGGGAACACAGCGGGCGGGCGGCCAAGGCAGCAGAGGGAGCAGCTCTTGGAAGCGAAGTGGAAAAGCTGCACGTTTGCAGACTCAAGGCGCGCTCAAGGATCCGGGCAGGGCAGGACACGACACGGGCTGGGGAAGCCCCAGCCTGGTGGGAATTCCTTAGGGATGGCTGCTCCCCTGGCAGCCCCAGGGACAAGCAGCCCCGTCTGTCACCCGCTGCGGAGAGACAAGGAGTTCATGACATTCCATGGGAAGCATCTTCAGCCACCCAGGGGAGGACGGGCAGTGACACCCGCAGGTCCGAGGTGCTGGGCAGCACCTGCTGTGTTTTCCCGGCGGGTTGTGTGGCTGCCCAGATCCCTGGGGAGCCGGGATTCATCCTGCACCACACAGACGGCACCTCTGCCCTGGCAACAATTCCCGGTTCCTACACGCTCGCTGGCTGGAGCTGCCAGCAGGAAAAAAAACAGGCACTGGGATATGATGACACAGCCCTGGAAGCTGCTGGGCTGCCTGAAGCCAGAGCTGGGCTGGCTGGGGAGAAGGGTTCCAGGGGAGCTGCCCGGTGCCAGCAGGAGCGGGGGAAGGAAGGCGCTTGGGGGGGAGTTTCACCAACCATTTCCATGGGGAGGAGCAAAGCAACAAACCCTCAGGGCAGAGGAAAGAAAGGACAAGTGTAAAGAGACGCTTAGCCAAGGAAGCCGGGGTTGTGTCACCCGTGGGTCTCTTCCAGAAGGCAGCGGGGGACAAAGAGGACTGATCCCAGAGCATCCCTGGGGACAGCAGCCCGAGGTCCCCTCAGCTCACACAACCTGGGGTTTCTCCAGACCCTGCAGCTCGCCGGCTCCTTGTGTCTACCTGAGCAAACTCTCCCACTCCCCTCTCTCCACCTCTCCTGCCATCCCTGTCTTCCTCTGTCTCTGTGTCCCCCTGCCAGGAGAGCCCGGCACCTTCCCAGCCCAAAAAGCTCCCGCCGGGCTCCGACTCTCCCTCCAAGCTGCATCTTGAACCACAGATAAGTTCCACTGCTGCTCTTTGCTCATGAATATTTCATCAGGCTGCCGGGCGCCGAGCCTGTCGGAGGTGGCATTAGATTAACTGCACGGACACACGGATGAGGGAAC